CTGACCCTGAAGGCCTGAGACTCTCTGGTCATGGAAGCCGGGAGCCTCCGTAGTCACGGGTACCTCAGGTAGTGCTTTAATAAAACTGTCTAAAAAATGTGAATGTAATTGTTTGTGTGTTGATTCATGTTCTGAAATGTACCTAGGGACAACTATAGATTTGTTCACATAAGACATGACCTATAAGTTTTGCTCACTATTAGAATTCTCGACTGAGTGGTCAGACCACATTAGCTACAAAGTTGGTCCTTAGTGATTTACAATTAGTGATTTGATGTAGTAGGTGAAACCCAAATGGTGTATGGGTACGTGTATTCCTGAGCATAATTCAACATGTCAAGTCCTCACTAATATATGAGGTGTTTCTATGTGCAAGGCCTGATTTTGAAAGTATAAAAGCTGAGCCACACTGACCAGCTTTGTGCTTTCTGACTTCTATATACTGAGATTGGTTGCCCTTTATCCTCAACTGAGGATAAAGTAAGGATTTTGTTGTCTGTTATTTGTCTTTTGTTTATTCTACTTTTTCACAGGATTTTATTTCATTAATATAAGTGTATTTTATTACTTTTCTTCACTGGAGTGGACATTGACTTCTTTTAGCAGAACCCATCAAGTTACCCTGTGTGGTAAAGTATGAATCTAATTCATTCTTCTGCAAAAACATTATAAAGACGATCCTTTAACTAAACTCTAGCTTAGAAATGTAGCGAAGGGAAGATCCTGGTTTATCTTTGTTTAATTAGGGTGATTAAGTGAAGTTTTTAAACTAATTTCGAGAGGAGCACGTGATATAATTGACAGCAGCTGGCCACCTACCTACACTCATTAGTTAGCCAACCAGATCTATCCTAACCCACTATAAGTAGCCTAGCTAGACATTAATCCCTTATCTTCGTTTTCCGAAGAAACCCTCCATCCACCCCTTTCTCCTCCTTTTCTCCTTTACAAAAAGGGGAGCTCTCGAGAACCACCTGATCTCGTACTCCCCTCACATGCTCTATGGACCTGGCGGGACCCCTGGGCTCAACTATCTCCGAGCTCAGGGTTCTCTCCCGGGACAGCATGCCAAACCTGCTTACAGCTGTCAAGCAATATCTAAGTGTGAACTCTTGAATTGAAGGCGTTCCAGCACATTATCCAATTCCTTTATACAGCACAGAAGAGCCATGATAGTGGGTGAAACTTTATTCACCCGAGAGAAGAAAGATGTGATATACACAAGGATGGTTTAAGGGTGTGTACATTATGGGCATTTTTTTAGGGGGGGGGGGGGGGGTGATCTATAACTTTGCTACATAAATCAATCCAATGTACATGCGTTAACTTAGAGAATGATTCAAGAATGAGGCTTTCTTTTTACTGCTTAAAAGAAAAATCAAATCGACCGTTGATTTCATGGGATCTTGGTATTTTGGTGGTGTAGGGTCTTTCTTTAATCACATTGTTACAAATTACTAGGGCTGTCCCTGTCTAAAGCTGCGATCACGCCAGAGTTTGAGTATGCAAATTCTGTCGTTTGGTGCTGTAAAAAGGGACGAGATTAAACAAGATGATTAGACATTTTAAAAGTGAGCGATTGGTCCGTATTTTAAATTGTTGGCCAGAGAAGTCATGTTTTGATCCTCGATTGGTCTCACACATTTAAGTGATGCAATTTTGCAGGTCAGAGTTCACTAAACTTGAACTTTCCAACTCAGCAAACTGCAAAATTTGTCGCACCAGCTGGTGTTTCCGGTCTGACGCATTTGCATGTGTATGAATGGAAATCTATAGGGAGAATAGTGCAGTGTGACCACAGCTTGATGTTTGTGTAGCAAGTGGGATGGGGCAGAGATATTTGGGAATGATGAGAGGTCTGTGGCACGAGTGTTATTTAGCATCACTTGTGTGCCATATCGGTCTTGATTCTCACAGAGCAGCTTTTCTCAGTCCTGACCCTCGTGCCATGGTGTTGGATATTTTACATGTTTCTCTTATGCAAAACAGCTAATTTACATAACCAGCTCATTAGACGAGCTCCATGCATGAACTGTGTTTTGTTTGACATGTTTACACGCAATGTGCATTATTTCCTAGTTCCTTCTTCTTCATTGCTCTCTACCTGATTATGAGAAACCCTTATTTCACTTCAGAATGTTCATTCGTGAATATAGAGAATCGTGAAGTGTGACATGATATACCTATATAAATTCCCATATCATTTTAATGAAACACATATGCTCCCTTCAAACTAAAATCAATCAAACTGAATATATTGTAGAGTCCCCTTTGCAGGGCACTTGCTGAAATAGAACAAATATCTGGCATAAAAAGAAAAACTTAAGAAATGTGCAGGGTGCAAGGACCAAGATTGAGAAACTCTGCCACAAAGTTTGAGTTTAGGCTGTCGTCACATGTTTGTTGTATTTTATTTATTAAACTTGTAAAAGGATAACTGTTTTTCATCTTTCCTTGAACTATAAGTTTTCTGAAGGTGTGATAACCTGATTGTATACATTTATATTATGCAAGCTATATTACATTTATTCAGATTTTCATAAAACGTTTATTGTTATTTTTATAATATTGTTAAAATTTCTATTTGTTTATTAGCACTTTAAAGGAGGAGAAATAAGTGTTATATGCGTTTTTCAAAAAAGAGATATTTTTGTCACCGCACCTGCGTCATGACGTCACTGCGCGCGGCAGTAGCGGGCGCGGCCGTGATGCTCTTCATACATGCTGAGTGAACAGTAAATGAAGACATCACGAGAGCGCTTGTGTTCAGTGTTTTATTTCTTTATTCTTTATAACTTCATTTCAGGTACTTGCACACATACAAATGCACAAAGAACACTTTTGTTGAGAAAATAAACCGTTTAAAATGATAAGAAGTTATGTTAAGTAGTTAATTAATGAATGTATGCTATCAGTTTGCATGTTAGAGCACATGTTTAGCATATAGCCTCGCGGTTAGCACGTTAGCCCGCTATCAGATAATAGATCGCCAAATACCAATGTAAATGAGTGTATTATTTAAAATACTTAGTGATTATTAAATTATATGTACATTTATCTGTATGAATTTGCCCTCTTTGCTATTTGTGGACTGCAAGTGATGCACTTGGTTTATATTCATTTAATGTAATGTGGAGCATATTAAATGCAATGTTATAAGTAGAGTATATATATATATTAATGTGTTATTTAGTATTCTTTGTTGCATCTTTAATTCATATGTTTATTTTCACCTGAGTAATGTGTGTAGGAAGAGTGCACAGGAGTACGTGTTAATGTAAATGTGTTTTATTAATAGTGTAAACTTTACAGATATAGTGTTAAGGTCAAGTGTGTGTATTTCAAAGTGAGAATGTTAAATAAGTGATTCACTGAGTGATTAGTGTGATCATATTTCAGTGATCACAAGGGTTAAGTTGTAGTTTTCTGGTTAATAATAATAATTGTGTGTTTCATTACATTTACTGTAGGAAACCATTTGGTTATTCATGATGTAATGTATTTTGTATTGAGTAATCACTGATATATACATGCTGAGTGAACAGTAAATGAAGACATCACGAGAGCGCTTGTGTTCAGTGTTTTATTTCTTTATTCTTTATAACTTCATTTCAGAAGTACTACAAAGGCAACCAGTAGCCAATGTGGCGTAACCCACGGCGCATGCAACGCGCGTAGCTGTGCATTTATACTTCTGCGTGCTGTCTCTGTTGGTCTGCATTAACACTTCTTAAACACTAGTTGGCAGTGAGGTGTAAATGTGTCTCTGTGTCGAGTTTCTTCGCTGGTGTTTTGTTTTTTCTGAATGCTTCCTGAATGTTCAAGTGGCTCAAACTTGCTCATTTTAAGGCAGGAACCGGTGGATATGCAACAACTTTAACTATGAGGTAAACACAAAACAAAACTTTACTCCACAATTGTAAACAATCACTCCATCGGGACTCGTCATCGATACCAAGTCGACCAATCACAGAGCTTGCGCTACGCGTCATGGCAACATGTAGTTACATTTTTTGAGAGGTGCACGTCAGCAACGGCCACGGCATAGGGCTATGCGTCAACGCGTAGGCTGCGCTGTAGCATACGTGTGCGCTTAACGCAGAAGTATAAATCAGCCTTAAGACCCTGTTTACATTGCCAGTTAAATGTGACCCAAATCCGATTTTTTAGCTCGTACATGATACTGATCAGATCTGTTCTATGAACGTATAAACACACACACAAAAAAAAAACATGCTTTCGGGTTTTCAGAGATCAGTTTCAGTCCTCCTTTACATGTTATAGTTAAGCAATAGTTTAATGGCAATCCTGTATAATGTCATACAGTACATTACTCTAACAATGTCTACCTGTCCTATGTCTTTTACATCAGTCACGCATAATGTACATTTGGCCTCCACCATTAGTTGTGAATGTGAATTATTTGTGTTGAATATTTGTTAAAAACACATGGATCTGCTTCAGAAGACATGTGTTAACCCCTTGGCAGCATTTGGAAGCTATAAAAAAGTCACAATCCAACACCACTATACAGCACAGAAGAGCCAGGATAAAGAGGATAAAGGATGTTTACCTAAGAGGAAAATGAAGTGATATACACAAGGATGGCTTGAGGGGGAGTACATTATGGGCTAATTTTCTTTTTTGGGTAATCTGCAAGTTTGTTACATGAAACAGTTCGATGTACATGCTGTGAATTAGAGAAGGATTCAAGAATGTTGCATGAATACTATTGACTACTAAAAAGAAAAAACAAATCCACTGTTGATTTCATGGGATCTTGATGTTCTGGCGGTGCAGGGTCTTTCTTTAATCACATTCTTACAAATTACTAGGGCTGTCCCTGTCTAAAGCAGTGGTCACACTAGAGTTTGAGCTAGGGTTGCCACCCGTCCCTTAAAATACGGAATCGTCCTGTACTTGAAAATGAAATTGCGCATCCCGTTTTGAATCAATAAGTGTAACAGCCCGGTTGGAGAAATAAAAGGATTAAACTCATGCACTGATGTTGCACTGTCCTCCTTTGTGCCTTTATTGTTGCATTTGCCGTCCTTAAAGACTGTACAACACCGTAAGAGCTAAGAACAGATGAATAAACACAAATAGAAAAGATGTAATGAATAATAGTTCACATAATAAGACAAAACAATAAACTTAGTGACAATATTATAAAGTATCTGCAAATATATGACTAATTTTACAATAAAATAGCAATTTAAATTATTAGCAAGCCAACAGATGCATCAAATTTTAGCAATATGTATAAAAATGTCCTCATCTACCTTGTTCTCCCTTCCAACCAGGTGTTCAAACAATGAAGATGAACAGAACAAAAAACAAACTCAAATATGCATTAAATCTCTCTTAAATCAGTCCTTAAATGTAACTTTAGCTCCGTGCATTTCTCTGTACAAGCGATCGCTCTCTCCCTCGTGCTAGGCGCACTTCTCCGATCTCCCTGCTTCCGTGATCTGCGCGCGCTCGCGCACCTGACCACTTCCGGCAAGCCGCGCATCAAAATAAGGGCCTCTATAGGCTAAATAACTTAGTGCAAAGCGGAGTTCAAATAAATAACAAAAACACAACAATTTTTAAAGAAATAGAGAAGTAATTAAAAGCAGCATAAATAATTAACACTGAAACCTAACTTAAATAACTTGGGGTTATTTACACTCCCACCAATCATGAGTGATTATGAATTTTAACCTTTTAATCACAAATGATTTTAAATGAATTATAATTACTACTACTACTACTATAACCATTTAAGACTAGATGTAAACAACACTAAAACATATATTACTATGAACTGTTTACTCAAAGGATATGTCAGTATGTTCAGGCTGCCTCCATCAGCAGGACCAGCTTCTGCACTGGACGTTCCACCACAGATGGTTTATGTGGACGTTTGCCATCCTTCCCCAGATTTCTGTCTCCGAACTGTATTTTCACTCTTCTCACCAATCCGTCCTTGTCAGTGACTGCCACAATAATCCTTGCCAAGCGCCACTCATTCCTAGGCAGATCCACTGCCCTCTCCAAGACAAGATCTCCTACTTGCATGTTCCTTCTTGGTGTATGCCAGCACTGTCTTGTTGTGATGTTAGACACATACTCCTTATGCCAACGTCCCCAGAATTGTTCCGCTAAGTATTGGACATGCCGCCATCTCTTACGGGCATACACATCTTCCCTGACAAATTTGCCAGGAGGTGGTAGGGCTTGAGTAGGTTTTAGAGTGAGGAGGTGATTAGGGGTTAGAGGTTCAGGGCTACTTGGGTCAGTTAGACTATCAACCGTGAGCGGACGACTGTTTACAATGGACATGGCCTCGTAAAAGAATCTTCGCAGAGAAGAGTCATCGAGCCTTCCAGATGACTGTGACAGGGTGGAGCGAAGAACACTTCTGACAGTTCTAATCTGTCTTTCCCAAACTCCGCCAGTGTGGCTTGAATGAGGTGCATTAAAAACAAAGTCGCACTGTTTTTCCGCTAAGAATGTTACCAGACGGTTGGTGTCAATCTCCTCCATAGCTTTGGTGAGCTCATTCCTGGCTCCAATGAAATTACTGCCTTGATCACACCTTATTTGATGGACTGCTCCTCTGATAGCGATGAAACAACGCAGGCCATTGATAAAGGCATCTGTGGACATGTCATCCAGCATCTCAATATGGATGGCTCTGCAACAGAAACAGGTAAAAAGAAGTCCATACCTCTTGTTTGACTTGCGACCTTTGCTGGTGATGAATGGACCGAAAACATCCATCCCGCTGTATGTGAATGGAGGGGATGGCTCGATGCGCTCTGAGGGTAAGTTAGCCATTTTTTGCTCTTCCGTAGGTCCACGTAACTTGCGACATCTCACACATTGTCGTACAAAGGAAGCCACAGTCCTGTTAACTCCCGTAATCCAGAATCCTCTTGATCTGATTTCATTTATAGTCATTCCCTTTCCTTGATGAGCCATCTTCTCATGACAATCAGCAATCAGAAGTTTTGTAAGTTGGTGCTCCTTCGGAAGTATCACTGGATAGTTAACAGCATTAGGGATAGATGCCTCACAAAGTCTCCCTCCCACCTTCAGCAATCCATCTTGGTCGACAAAGGTGTCAAGATTGTATAGTCTGTTGCTGCGAGGTAGTTGTTTGCCCTTACGGAGTAAAGTTATCTCCTCTGCATATGTCTGCTTCTGTAAGTCCTTGATTATGATACACTGTGCATCGTTCCGTTCCGCCAATGTACTGTGATTATGTGACTTGTCTTTCCCTACACGACGTATTAAACGTGCAACAGCTTGGATAGCTTTGGACCATGAGGACAACTTGGTGAGACGGTCTGACAAACATGAATACTGTACAGTTTGCGTGTTGAGTGACTGAACCTTCTTGACTTCAGGGTCGCCAATTGGAAGCTGCTTGCTGATTTCCATAGGTGGTGGTATTTGCTTTTCCCATAAAACTTTAGGTCCTCTAAACCAGTTGGAAGTGACAAGATTGTTAACACTTAGACCACGCGATGCGTAATCGGCTGGATTTTCATCTGAGCAAATGTACCGCCATTGTTGAGGAGTTGTGGTGCGGTGAATCCTTTGTACTCTATTTGCCACAAACGTGTGGAAACGGCGGGCTTCATTGTTTATGTAGCCTAACACCACTTGTGAGTCAGTCCAGAAAAACGCTTCTGCATCTGCCAGGTTCATTTCCTCCTTCAACATGTCATTCACTGCAACTGACACCACTGCGGCAGCCAATTCTAGCCGAGGAATTGTTGTGATCTTGAGTGGGGCCACTCTAGATTTTGCCATGAGCAACGAACAACTGATGTCACCTTGCTCGTTCTCGAGTCTGAGATATGAACACTGACCATATCCACTCATGCTGGCGTCTGAGAAGTGGTGAATCTCTCTCCTTATGATTCTCCCAAACCCAGAAGGCACAATACAACGAGGCACTTCAATCTTTTCTAGGTTAACTACATCTGCCTTCCAGTGTTCCCATGCTGATTGTAGATCAGCGGGTAAGTTATCATCCCAACCCATACCACTTCGGCACATTTCTTGCAGAATGGTCTTTCCTTTGAGTACAAAGGGGGCAAGAAAGCTTAAGGGATCAAACAATGAGGCCACTATAGACAGTATCCCTCTACGGGTTGCTGGTTGGTCCTTAACAGTGATACGGAATTTGAAATTGTCTTGTTCCAGACTCCAGTAAATGCCCAAAGCTCTTTCCAAAGGCTGATCATTTAGAGCAAGATTGACAGCTGTAACATCTACCGCACACTCTGAGGGTGGTATTGTCTCCAAGACTTCCTTGTCATTAGACACAAACTTGTGAAGCCTTAAGCTTCCCAGTGCACAAAGCTGACGAGCTTCTTCAGCCAATTTGATGGCCTTCTCTGTGCTTTCAATGCTGGAAACTCCATCATCCACGTAGAAATCTTGCATAATAAATTGCGAGCCCAGAGGATACAGACGTTCACCTTCTCTTGCAAGATGCTTCAGCCCATAGTTAGCGCATCCAGGGGACGATGAGGCTCCAAACAAATGCACTGTCATGCGGAAGGTTTGAGGCTGTGAATTGAAATCTCCATTTCTCCACCATAGAAATCGTAAATAATCACGATCCGCATGGTCTACATGAAATTGGTGGAACATTTTCTCCACGTCACACATTAGGGCTACAGGGTACTGTCTGAACCTCAAAAGGATGCCAGTTAAGCTGTTCATCAGATCTGGGCCAGTTAGAAGATGGTCGTTCAAGGTAGTTCCCTTGTATCTGGCTGAACAGTCAAAAACTATACGCAATTTCCCTGGCTTTTTCGAGTGGTACACTCCGTGATGTGGTATGTACCATCTTTCTCCTTCTCGTCCTTCTTCAAACACCTGCTCTGCATTACCCTTCTCTATTACTTCCTCCATGAATGTTACATAATGCTCTCTGTACTCCTGATCCCTCATTAATCTCCTCTTCAAATGTTGAAGTCTTATGACAGCAAGAGGTTTGTTATCTGGAAGATATGGTCTTTTCCTGAATGGCAGGGGCATTTCCAGATGACTATCCTTGTTCAATCTGATATTCTCTTCCAGCTTTCTCAGAAACATGATGTCCTCCTGAGACGTCACTTTAGTGTGCCCTTCTGTATCCTTGAAATCAGATTCCAGCACTTTTATCACATCTGTGGGAGTTACTGCAGGTATTTCCTTGATAGACACTCTATGACACATGGCAGCACTGCTTTGGGACTCAAAATGTGTTAAGGAAGGACCTATAATGCTCCACCCGAGGTCCGTGCGAACAGCATATGGTTCATTCTCCGTTCCAAGAATTACTTCTCGGGGCGCTAGCGCTCTGGAACAATTGTATCCTATCAATAGTCCAACCTCACAATTTTGAAGTGGGGGAATTTTGTCTGCTAGAGTGGCTAGATGTTTCAAATGACTTGCAGTCTCCATTGTAGGGATGTGTGCGCGATCCACAGGAATGCATTCTTTGGTGTATGCAGGGGGTAGATCTATAATCAGTGAGGAATTGAAACCTCTAACTCGAAGACCAGAAATCCTTTCACTTGACATCAAGGAGTCCTTTCCAACCAAAGTAGTGAGTTTAAGCGTCACGGGACAGGAGTCGACTTTAAGACTTTTGCATACTGCACATTCAATAAAGACTGAATCGCTTTGTGTGTCTAACAGAGCATAGACGAGCTTCTCAGAAACTGGGTCTTTATGTGTGGACAACCACACTGGCACAATCATAGAGGTGTTAACAGGCGTGCATCCAGATTCTACACTCAATGACATTGTCGCAACTCCTTCATGGACATTTTCTGGGCTCTGAGCAGAAGAAGACCTCACCTTTCTATTGAAGCTGTCATCATGTAGGCAGGTAGGGTGTCTTCCCTTACAGGTGTTGCAGCAATGTCGGGAGCGGCAGTCCTTGGCACTGTGACCCAGCCTCAAACATCCATAGCACAATCTTGTATCCTTTACGAACTGTCTACGTTCTTCAAGAGACCTTTCAGAGAATTTAGAACACTCATGAATTTGATGTTCACCATTTTGACAGAACAGACATGGCTTATTGACCTTTCCAGTGGGCTTTGAATTATCATGCTGTGTGACAGTCTTTGTATGGAAGACATTAGCTTTAGGTTTACTGACCTTGAAATAATTTTTCTCTTTGTTAGGTTCTGAAACATGAAGGGCATGAAAGGATGTGACTGGATTACAGGCAACTTCAGCTTCAACAGACATGAAATGGGCGAATTCTTGAAAAGTTGGAAAATCTTGTGTTTCACTCAACGTTTGTGTGGATTGACGATTCCAGCGGGCAGCCGCCCAATCAGGGAGTTTGCTTACAAGCTTCCTATTCTCTTCACAATCATTCAATATTTCCAGTCCCTTTACATGTGGCATTGCATCCTTACATGAGTTCAAGAAATCAGAGAAATTTCGAAGTCCTACCGAGTCCTTGGATTGAATTTTAGGCCAGCATGCGAGTTTCTCTCTGAATGCTCGTTGTATGATGAATGGCTGTCCGTAGCGATCTAGAAGCCTCTTCCACGCGTCCTTGTAAGCCTCCTCATCATTTCTGTAAAAGATACCATCTAGCACTTTCAGAGCAGGCCCAGTAACGTACTTCTTCAGGTAGTATAACTTGTCTCCTGAAGAGATATGCCTTTTATCAATGAGTGATTGAAATGAAGCCTTCCACTCTATGAAGTGAATGGGGTCACCACTGAAAACTGTGGGCTCTGGCATAGGAAGTCTGTCTAGTGTTATGCTATCTTGGACAGCCTGCGCTAATTGAGACACATCAGCATTGGGACCCTGTGATGAAATGTTAGGCGTTGGATTAACGGAGGATAAGTATACTGGTTTATGCGTGGGAGGGCTTACAGGTTGCTGCAGCCCTTCATCTTGATTAACAGTGTCAACAGTTTCTTCCTTGTCATACACCTCCAGTCTTGCTCTAGCTGCTCTTACCTCCTTCATCGCTTGGAGCCTTTCAAACTCGCCTTTTTGAGCCTCAAGTTCCTTTCTTTGCTTCTCTTCTAGAAGTCGTAATTTTTCTCTTTGCTCCCTTTCTTCTATTACAGTAGCATATTCTGCTTCCTTAGCTGCTAGCTCTGCTGCTGCCTCTATGCGTTTAGCCATTAGTATAGAATTCAGAGAGGGTTGACTTATAGGTGTACTGGATTTGGAGCTGATGCGTGAAACAGTAGAACCATAAACAGAGCGAGCGTAGTCTCGTTCAAGCAGCTCACGTAAATGCCCCTTTACGGTTTCATTGTCAAAGCCTCCATCTACCCCTGAGATCCTCTCGTATGCAATTTTTACTATATCCTTTGTAACAGCATCACAAGCATCAATTTTCCGTCTCATATCAGTGGGTGGAGTTACATTACTTCTAACCCTTATGTATGCATTCATCACACTGTCCTTTTCCTTTTCCAATGAGTCTATGAGTGTTGCTAATTCACTCTCAGAAATGTCTAATTTCAACTGACTTCTTGCTTTCCGAGCCTCAGCCTTCCATTTTTCATATGCATGCATAAGCTTTCTTTCTGCTTTATGAGACTCCTCCCTTTGATATGCAAGCATCCTGTCTGTCTGAGTTCGTTCACGGGTAGAGCGACGTACATTTGTGTCTAATTCTTCAGATTGAACTTCTATTTCTTCATCAACTTCTTTGTTTTGAACATTATCAATTTGTTCGTTTACTTTTGCAGGAGTGCACAAATTGGAACCGTGATCCGTCATCATTTACATCAGCAAATAATGTCAGTGGGTGCAAGCTCTTACTGTAACAGCCCGGTTGGAGAAATAAAAGGATTAAACTCATGCACTGATGTTGCGCTGTCCTCCTTTGTGCCTTTATTGTTGCATTTGCCGTCCTTAAAGACTGTACAACACCGTAAGAGCTAAGAACAGATGAATAAACACAAATAGAAAAGATGTAATGAATAATAGTTCACATAATAAGACAAAACAATAAACTTAGTGACAATATTATAAAGTATCTGCAAATATATGACTAATTTTACAATAAAATAGCAATTTAAATTATTAGCAAGCCAACAGATGCATCAAATTTTAGCAATATGTATAAAAATGTCCTCATCTACCTTGTTCTCCCTTCCAACCAGGTGTTCAAACAATGAAGATGAACAGAACAAAAAACAAACTCAAATATGCATTAAATCTCTCTTAAATCAGTCCTTAAATGTAACTTTAGCTCCGTGCATTTCTCTGTACAAGCGATCGCTCTCTCCCTCGTGCTAGGCGCACTTCTCCGATCTCCCTGCTTCCGTGATCTGCGCGCGCTCGCGCACCTGACCACTTCCGGCAAGCCGCGCATCAAAATAAGGGCCTCTATAGGCTAAATAACAAAAACACAACAATTTTTAAAGAAATAGAGAAGTAATTAAAAGCAGCATAAATAATTAACACTGAAACCTAACTTAAATAACTTGGGGTTATTTACAATAAGGGACGATTTTTGTCCCATATTTTTCATCAGTCTTTAAATGTAGCTTTTTATGAAAATCATCCCACACGCATTTCCTGAAGATGCCTCATTTCCTGCTTTTGATTGGGTAATACTCTATGTCATCGTTAGTTTAACTTGTCTTTGTCCAGTGAGGAGGGCGGGTCTTCTAAGCAGAGTCTGTCAAGTCTTGACAGAGAGTAATGGCAGATGCTTCTCCAGGTAACCCTCCGTGTCTTAAAGTTTAAACGCAAGCGACTTTGAGAATACCGCAGAGAGTGGGAGGAAACGAATACCTGGCTGCAGAGTGCTAGGAATTATTATTAAGCCAACTGCCGGATTTGTCGGAGAGCGCTCTCTGTGGCTCATGGTGGTCTGTGGGACAACATGCCTCTGGAGAGCAGCATTCCTGCAATGACAGAGCTCACAAAAATCGAACCACAGTCAAACAGTTCTTCGTACCCCAAGTCTCTCTTGAAGCAGACATGGTAATGACAGTGACCCAGTCTGTGAACATCTAGCTGGAGTCTTCTTTTTTTAATTTACTGTTTTCTACATGAAATAAAGAACATTCTGAGAAAATAATACTAATAAATGGATTTAATATAAACTAATTAAAACAATGTCAACAACTGAAATCACAGTGAAGTGAATGGCTACAGTCAAACTTTATCTCAGAGTTAGATTTGGCCTGCTTTTCACTCACTGGGTCACAAATTTTAATTTGTAAAAATTCTGTAAACGCAATGTAAATGGATCATATTCCAGTGTATTATTATGATTTGTTTGTTAAGGTTAAGTCAGGCACACAAGCATTTATTTAATACTTGAAACATTATATTTAAAACAATAATAAACAACATAATGCCCAAGTAAGAAAAATAAACTAGTAAATTGCAACTTTCCTTATTTGAAAATTAGAAATAGGCTGCATGAAAACTTTGCTACACTGTAAAAAAAATCCTGGTTGCCTTAATTTTTAGGCTGAATCAAATCAATCATGAGTTCAACAGCTTGCATAACTTATAAAATTCAGACAGAACATGACTAACTTAGTTTACTAATTAAAATGACCTAAAACATATGCTGTCAGGACTAATTGATCATAGCATTTTTACAGTGTAGCTAATGTTTATGTATGTGCTGTTTCCATATTTGGATACGTGTTACTGCAAATAATGACAAACATTTTAGCCAAAATCTGTCATCAATACCACCCTTTAAAATTAGGTTCATTAGTATTTTCTCCTCTCCTCTAGGTTACAGCAGCTGAGTTAACGCAAGTGTACGAAACTATTAAACAACACCAGCTATATCAGTGCTGCAGAGTTGTAAAAGAGAAAGACTGACTGCATCTGTTTACACAGACTTCAATAAAATACAGTTTATTTTAATGTCCAGGTGTTCATACTTTCCTAAAAATATATTTTAAATTGGAATTTACCACCACCACTGACATGCTATTGGGCCTGTCATCACTGTGGTCAAGGCCCCAGAGGGATATGGCCCCTCCTGCTTATTTTTTTGTATCAAAAGTGGTAACCCTAGCTTGAGCTTGAAAAATTCTGACGTGCAGCGCTTTAAGAAAGGAAGAGATTAAACAAGATGATTAGAAATTTTAAAAAGTAAGCGATATTGTTCTATATTTAATAATTTTGGCCAGAGAGGTCTTGTTTTGATCCTCGATTGGCCTCACGCAGTCAAGTGATGGATTTTCACAGGTCAGAGTTCACTAAACTTGAACTTTCCATCGCACTTGTCACACCAGCTTGCGTATCTGGTCTGATGCATTCGCATGCGTATGAATGGAAGTCTATGGGGAGAAAACTGCAGTGTGTCTGGGGCTTTATGCTGGTATAGCAAGTGGGACAGGGCTTAGATATTTGGGAGTTCTGCTAGGCATTTGGTACGAGCTTATTTAGCATCACCTGTGTGCCACATTGGTCTTAATTCCCACAGAGCAGCTTTTCTCAGTCCTGACCCTCGTGCCATGGTGTTGGATATTTTGCATGTTTCTCTCATTCAACACAGCTGATTTACATAACCAGCTCGTTAGAAGAGCTCAAAATAATCACAAATAATTAGATTTGACAATGTAGCTATACATGTAAATCTGAGGATTGAAATCCACTGAACCTAACCTGAGAACCCAGTTTTGTAGTTATGACAGAACACAGAGATATTGTGCTGATGGGGACATATAAAAAGATGAATATTGTGCTGTGGTGAAATACATGCTGTCAGTCACTGGATTATTGAAGCTGAAAGCACACGGAAAGTAAATAAAAACAGATACAAATGTTGAGTTGGATTTTCCATGTGATGCAGTTACGGAAATATGAATTTTGAATTATATAGACTCAACTCTCTACCACATTTAAATGAATACACTTGCAAAGACTACAGAATCACACAGAGAGGACATATGCAAAAAAAAAAAAAAAAAACATGAATGAGGAAGAAAAATGAAAAAGTCCTTTGTTGAGAGTAATAAACAAATAATGTGACGTGCTGAATGACGGATGAGAGCAGATATAGAATAATCATATAGTCTGGAGCTGCAGACAGAAACATCAGACTGAGGACAGAAACACACCAGCTCTAAGGTCAGAACTCACATCTACATTATTTACACACAAATAGACTTCAGACATATAATGCTAATGATTATGAATCGTCTTATGAAACTAAAATATGTTCTCAATGTGTTTCTTCTTTAGAAATGGCTCAATCTCTACATTTCCCTCTTCTCCTCATTGGTGAGTGTGTTTGTAGTTTTATTTATGGTTTATAGTTTCATTAGGTTTGACTCTGTTCTGAAAAGCATTAAAGCAAAGTGTCTCTTTCACAGCTCTCTGCTCCATATCTGAATGTGTTCAGCGTCAGTATCACTTTATAAATGAGAAGAAGACCTGGACTGAAGCTCAGAGTTACTGCAGAGAGAAATACACAGATCTGGCCACTGTTGACAACATGAATGACATGAAACAGCTGATGACGAGTGTGAATAATGAACAAATCTGGTTTGGTCTTCAGAGGACGGGTGTTTATAATTATAATTGGTCTTCAGGTGATCCTGTGCTCTATCTGAACTGGGGATCTGGACAACCAGCTGGCAGTGATAATTGCACTTATATTTCAAATGGACTGTGGTATGTTATGCCATGCATCACCAGCTTATCCTTCATCTGCTATAACAGTGAGTACAAACCCCTTAAGTAACTAAAGTTAACTAATGGTAACAAATTTTAGTAAAGATGATTCAAATAAACTTTAATGTGATAAAAGTAAACATTATATATTAGTGTAATATAAATACAAATGAATACTTTATCTTGTACATCTAAAATATTTACAGTTAACCGAAATGGAAAAAAGTTAAAGAGAGGTTGAATTGTGTCCTTCGGCTCTTGGTTTAATGACGCAAAATATCACAGTAATATTCATAAACATAACAAAAACCCAAAGCAACCTTTTTGCTATACAGTCGTTTGGTTCTGTATTTATGAAGAAACATTTAACGTTATCTAAGAATAATGTTAATTTGATTTATTAATGTTTACTATTTGATTTTCTTAAAGTGAGCAGAGGACTGGTGTTTGTCAATCAGGCGATGAACTGGAGAGACGCTCAGAGTCACTGCAGACAGAATTACATTGATCTGGTCAGTGTGAGGAACCAGAATGAGAATCAACAGCTGGAGAAGTTCATTAATAATAGAAGCTTATCTGGATCTCCAGTCTGGATCGGTCTGTTTGGTGACTCATGGCAGTGGTCAGATCAGAGCAACTCCTCATTCAGATACTGGGATACCAATCAACCTGATAATGCTGGTGGTATTGAAAACTGTGCAGAGATCACTCCGAATGATCTGAGACGATGGAATGACATCGCTTGTAATAACCCGTTTCCTTTTGTGTGTCATGAAGGTGAGCAGATCCTCCAAACACACTCAATCCATCATCAGCTCCAGATCTCTTAAAGTTGACTCTACATGTCTGACATGACAAATTCCTCCACAGTGTTTGTTCTGCATGTTGTTGTTGATCAGTCTCTCTCTAGTTTCTGCTTTGTTTTGTGTCCAGATAAACTGATTGTGATCCAGCAGAATCTGTCGTGGTCTGAAGCTCTGAGATACTGCAGACAGAATCATGTGGATCTGGTCTCGGTTCAGTCAGTGGAGATTCAGTATAAGGTGATGAACGTGGTTAAACTGGCGTCTACTGAGGCGGTGTGGTTGGGTTTACGTCACTCCTGTGCTTTGGGCATCTGGTTCTGGGTGAGTGGAGAGACCGTGTGCTATCAGAACTGGGCTCCAGGGTACGGCACATCAGAGGAGGACTGTGAGCCCACAGTGAGATCTGGAGCAGTTCAGTCTGGAGGAGATCAGACCTGGATCAGCCATCCTGAAACTCACAAACTCAACTTCATCTGCAGAAACTATTAAGGGTGAAGGACCTGAAGATGTTTCTGTTGAATAGTATGTTTCTAGTTTGTGTATTGTTTATATACAGAAAGTTTTCTTAGGAGAGGCCAGAAGAGGCCACATCAAATCTTAAGGGTGGCACACAAACACACAAAAAAAAAATTAATTCAGTGTAATGTTATATTTTTATTTCTGGTAAATAAAAAATGTTTTAAATTATTTTAATTACTCTTTATAATATTGCAATTTATCCCTTGAAATAATTCAGCAAGTACATGTGTAAACCAAATAAAAATATATATTTAGTGTAAAATACTTTCCATATATATAATTAACTTTTCAGTTATCACATAACTTTACTGTACAGTATAAAGTATATGCCAGTGGTGGGCAAACTTTTTAGACTTGAGGGCCACATCAAGTTTTGCAAACCAAGTAAAGGGCCATGTGTCAAATCATTCATTCATTTTCTTTGCGGCTTAGTCCCTTTATTAATCCGGGGTCGCCACAGCGGAATGAACCGCCAACTTATCCAGCAAGTTTTACGCAGCAGATGCCCTTCCAGCCGCAACCCATCTCTGGGAAACATCCACACACACACTCATACACTACGAACAATTTAGCCCACCCAATTCACCTGTACCGCATGTCTTTGGACTGTGGGGTAAACCACGCGAATGTAGGGAGAACATGCAAACTCCATACAGAAATGCCAAGGCTTGACCCAGCGACCATCTTGCTGTGAGGCGACAGCACTACCTAATGCACCACTGCGTTGCCACATATATATATAATAAAAAAAAATATATAACATGTATAATAGTTCTTTATTAAATCCTGCTTTAATGGGAGTGCAGTTCCTGTTAGTTCCCCGGTGGTGCTATTGTGCACAGTTTGTGTACACTGCAAATAATGCTTTTCTTACTTGGATTTTTTGTCTTGTTTCTAGTCGAAATATCTAACAATTCCTAAATCAAGAAGAATTTTCTAGACAAGCAATATTAAGTAAGTTTTTCTGTAAAACAAGCAAAATAATCTGCCAATGGGGTGAGCAAAATTAATTTGTTTGGCAAATGCTTGGCAGATTATTTTAATTGTTTTAAGGAAAAACTCACTTAATATCGCATTTTATTTCTCAAAACAAGACAATTTGTTTTGCTTGTCTAGAAAATACTTCTTGATATAAGAAATTTTAGATATTTAGACTAGAAATAAGACAAAAAAACTAAGCAAGAAAAGCATTTTTTGCAGTGTATAGACTGCAGCAGAGTTCAGAAGGACTGCTGTGGTTGAGTCGGGTTTTGTGTTAGCACCACAATGATTTCAATGATTAATTTGACGCAGCTTTAAAAGTATGGCATACCTTATATACATTTATAGATTGATAAAGTGGGTTTTCTTTTTATTTTTATACTTTTAATCTCGTTATGATGTTTTCCCCACTACTTATACGGTATATGCTAATGAAGTTATTTGTGTTTTAGATGTGGATGCGAAGTAAAACCTTGTTGATTTCACTGTTACAGCTCTGTGTGCAGGTATAATTTCTATTATATATTGTGTTTAGGTATTTATTGTGTTTATTCAGCTATATTAGTTACGCATTTTCAGTTTTTTTATATTTTTGCTTTGTATCATAATGATTTAAGCTTTCAAGATAATATATATATATAGTGTTGTCAATCGATAAAAAAAATAACTAATTAATCGCACTTTTTTAAAAAATTTATCGCATTTAAAAGACTGAAACTTGTAATTTGGGCTATTCTAGTGTAAAATTAATGTAAACGCAAGACAAATACTATTTAAATTCAAAATATAACTCATTATTAGAATTTTTGTTCACTTGTAACACAGATTTCTTCATGTAAACAACAAACCCACAATAAACCATCAAGATCCTGGCTTGACAGCCATATTTATTACAGAAATTAAAACACAGGCATGTTAGAGCTATCTGGATTTCAAAACAATCAATGCCAATAAAGAAAACACTGATTTCCATGTTGGATTCCAAGTGGACTGCAAAAAAAAAAAAAAAAAAGCCAAAATACAGGAATTGCAGATATGGAAAATTATAGTAATAATAATAAAGTATTGAAAATCTGTGCATGCCCTTGAATAGGTTTACCAACTCCCATTCTATAAAAGCACAAAAGCCATATATAGGAAATAACGAGAGTTGACAAATTAAAAAAAAAAAAACTACTTTATTTATTTATTATTAAAATAAAATTATAATCCACACTGGAAATGTGGGAGCCTGTGTGTTTTGAGGGAGCCAAATAAATAATGAACATAAAAACTGCCTGCTGACGCACACAGTTAATGTTGATTCATAAAATAAAGATAAATAAAAAAAGCAATGTATCAGAGATCCTTACAAACATGTTTAACTCAACAATGAAACATCAAACGTAGCTAAAAGATTTTACATTGTCAATCAAATGAAGTTAAACAATTGAAAAATGCAACAAATATTTGTTTCTGCCCAAACTAAAAACAGATTTTTTAAATAGTTATTACTGAGTCAAATTTACAAGTCAAATGAATTTGCACTGCTATTATATTTATCATCACTTATCGATCATCATACAACAATAAAATAATCTCTTATAAAATATAATAATAATAATCTAATAATTTTTTACAGTGGAGAATAGAAAAGATATTGTCTGATAGAAAAAAATTCACATTAGCACATCAAAAATAATTCTTAAAGTTTACTATTGTGAAATTTACAGGTATTTAATTTGCACTGCTTACACAGTACCAATATTCAACAGCTCACTACCAAGTTCCCCTGTGTTTTTATTGATGTAATATTTAAAGTTTGCGTTTTACAGCTGCACTTCAAACGATGAGGCACACTCACTCCTTGAACCACCATGGAGCTCGGGTCTTCAGAGAAAGACTTGTGTGCATTTGAGTCCAGATTTCCAGTCTGTTGTGCTGGGCAGCCACCGAGAAAAAACAGCGGCTCAGTAATAATAATGATACATTTTAAGGCATAATTATATTTATTTTATTTTTACAGTGCTCAAGGACATTTTACAACAGTTAGAAACAATTAGAAACTTCATACGGATATTAAGTTGTAATGTTAATAGCATAATGTCTTTTAATAGTGTTTTTAGAGAATGTGATCTTGAAGAATGTGATCAACGTTATTTTCTACTGAACATTTTTAGACTGCTTTTATGAAAACATTATCCTTGTATAGAACAGAATGAGAAGTAAATATAAATGAATATTCCAGCAGTTTTTGATGACACATTGTTAAAATGTTTTCAAAGTATTGTTTTCAAACAGGTAAAGAGAACATTAAATGGTAATGTTTCAGACATTTTTAGAAAAAAAAAACATAAAAAATTTTTAATTTTCTTTTCCCATACAATGTTCTTGTACCAATAGTAAATAACAATAATAATAAACAACTACAAAAGTCAAGGCGGTGTGTAGAAGATGGTCATAGGTCAGATTTAAGGTGTGTGAAATAAAATTAAATCCATTTTTATATCTTTTTAAGATTGCAAATGCCTCAATGTCCACTGGGTGACGCACTTGAACACATTACATTTTCATTAACTTTAGGTCAGGGGTTGGGTATCTTTTTTCAGTAAAGAGCCATTTCAGATTTTTTTGGGCAAATGCATTTTTTCAAAGAGCCATTGGATGTATAGAGTATATGAAGCATCACATGTTGAATACATGTTAATTCCATGTATTAAGAAAGAATAATTTATAGAATTTTTCTTTTCGCCATCAACAATCATGAATGTTGTTTGAAATAACATGTGCAAGGACACCATAGGAATTTAAGTTGCATGTCGTTTATTGGTGTCATGATTCAAGCTAATCGACCACAGCGCCACACACATGCATTTATTGAAACATCCTTTTATTCTTTTTCTTATTCTTTTTGCTGTAAAAATATACAATAAAAGGGTCATTGTAAATTTATTTTCAATAGGAAACTGATTTTTAGAGATCATTAATTTTTTTATTAAAGGGAGACATTTTTTTGGTCAAAGAGCCACATGTGGCTCCCGAGCCATAGGTTCCCTACCCCTGATTTAGGTGAAGGAAAAAAGTAACTAACCAGCTAGCTCTTAACACTGCTTAAAGGTGCAGTAGGTAATCTACTAAAATGCTAACCGCTTAGCATATTATCTTTGGACGGCGGGGAGGGACTGTGATTCAAAGCCAGACCCCATGAAATCGCGAACGCGCTCACCGCATCACAACAGACAACCCACTAGTTCAGGTCATTCGCCAGTTAGTTAGTGCCAGCGCCGTGCAGGAATTACATTTATTACTTTGCCACACTTGCATGCTATTTCAGAGCGAATATTCAGAGTAGCGGTAAACAGTATAGGAAGGCTATCATTGTTCAAAAATGACCCAATGTGAATATAAAAGCAACTTTAGCTCAATAAAGGAGTTTAGGCAGAATAGCACTATTTACTGGTGTTTTGTTGTTCAGCTAAATAAAAATCTACATAATAGATGCTGTCAAAGGACCTTATGAAACTGAAAATAATCACATCAATCTTTCACCGGGAGATTTCAGTGGCTGAACAACACGTCTGTGCATATACGTCATTCATAACAACACAATCTAACATAAGCTTAGCCTGACTAAAATAGTTTTAAAACAGAACATGACCTGTCTAACTGTAATACTTCAGCCATGGTGTCGTCCTTCCTCCAGCGTGCTAAAGTAACTCCAATATTGATTCAGGATTTTAAAAGTTTCAATTCACCATTTAATTTCTCCCGGTCTGTCTCGTGACCGCGTGGCTGCTTATGCAGGCGGGCACACACGAATGGCGGATCTGCGTGAACAGATGCGCAGAAGTCCGAATATACATTTGCTGACAGACTGTGCTGCTTATCGGAATTAAGGGAACTGACGGTCCGACTCTATTTAATTGGATGAACATATTTTTGTTTTATGCCTTACCCAGAATATAAAAATACATTTAAACACATTTAGATAATTTACTGTAATCATTACTATTAGACTGCGAAGAGACTTTCAAGCAGCACAACAACAAATGTTTCTGAAGACAATCACCTACTGCACCTTTAACTATGAAATTTAGAGAAAAAAGTATTAATAAGCAATAAAAAAAAGTGTTATCGGATTATTCCTTCATTTTA